ACAGGAGGTCAAGGAACTAAGGTCACAGAGAGTGACACAGAAACTTGAAACGTGAACCCAGGCAGTCTGGATCTGGGAAGATGCTGCTTGATGATCACAGAGATCCCACAGTCCGCGCAGTGTAAAGGCTGCTGTGCTGGGCCACGAGGCTGCCTGAGGAAGAAGGACGTGGGAAAGCCAGTTCCCATGCAGAGCTGACCTAGGGGAGCACAGTGATACAATTGCCAGGCAGGTCTGTGTCTCTGCCTTCCATTCCCTGAGCCCTGGGTACCCAGGGGCTGCCCCATCTGTGAGTGATGGCATGGACTGCTTCAGGGCGAGGTTGGTGCAGAACAAAGAGGTCCTTCATCTTAGAGGCCCCAGGCCGACATGCTGTGATCAACTGCAGGACTTTAGTCGTAAATCCAAGTTCGCTTTAAACAACAACCACAAAAAAAGTGTTTTGTAAATTTCAAGACCTCCCTTGCCACTCAAAGCCTAGGGCTCCTGGCTCAGCCCAGGGTGTGTGTTCTCCAGACCTAGCTAAGGAGGCAGAGGCTGTGTTGACAGGGACTTCCCTTGTAAGGGTCCGGCAAAGCGTTGGAGGGAGAGACCACACAAGAGACTGACTTCATGCAATTGGCATAGGGAATTTATTAATTCAGCATGCTGAGGTTCCAGGCTCACTCAGGAAGACAGAGCAGCCCAGAGCCCAGAGCAGAGGTCAAGCAGAGCTTAAGTACACTTTCTGGAGAGGGCAGGGGGCTTTGCATACATCAGAACAAATCATCATGAGGCACGGGAAAATTGAACAACAACTCTGAGACGGGATTAGTACATTCATTGGCGGGAACAGTCTGGGCAGGGGTGATTGGTCACCCCTAAGTGGGGTACACATTTAAACTGTGGTTTTGTGGCCTGGATGCTTACGTGCCGAGCTACTTGGAGCCTTTAGCTATTAAACACCCAGGGAATCAATGGAAATATTTACTGGGCAGTTCCCACATTGTCCTAACAGCTACAGAGATTACAAATTCTGGGGGTAGCAGAGGAATTTTAACAATACCTAGTCTTTTACTCTTTAGCCCAGGCCCTGCGATTTAGAAACTTTACAATGCCCGGTCTTTTAACTTTAACTCAGACTTTTGCAGCTTAGAATCAGCTTAGAAATTTTACCTTTACACCCTCTCCCTGAACAAGCGGGATTGGAAGGCAGAGCTGGCAAGGGGAGGGAACCACATGTGGCCTGGGTACTCGTGCCCTTAAGCAAGGGCAGGGGTGATGCCTTAGAAAAGCCCTATGCTTGGGCGCATGGGTACCACACAGTCTCTAGGCAGAAGGACACATTTGGAGGGGACATTGAAGGCTGTCTCCAAGAGTCCCGCACACTGCAGTCTGCAGGAGAGAATCAGCTGCCAGTCTGGGGTCTCCTGCGGGGGCGGCCTCCTTCTGTCCCAGGTGGCTTCAGTTTCCTCTGAGCACAGGGAGAGAAAGCAAACAGAGCTGACTGTCACAGAACTGAGGGGACCCGAGCCAGACTCGGGGAAGCCAAGAGAGTGAGAGGTTGCACAACAGAAGGGGAGGAAGGCTGCGGTGTCTTCTCAGGAGCCCTAGAGTCACCAGTTGGCATGAGCAATTCCAGAGAAAGAAAAACTCATGAGACAGCTATGAGCTGAACAGGTATCGGAACTTACAAAGATCTGACATCACCTGAATTCCCAAAAGCCAAAGTTGGAAGACCTTCAGATGTACATGATACATGGAGCAGAGACCCAAAGTGGGGTCAGGTGAGCATCAGAGAACAGGAAAAGGGCATTGACACCAAGACATAAAAAACAGAGCTTGAGAAAGATACTGAGAAGAAAGTGAAGAGGGATAATGCAGTAAATGAGATCCACAGCAGAAGATGAGATCCACAATAGACAATGAGATTCACAGTAGGGAGTGAGATCCACAGGAGACAGTGAGATCCACAGCAGGAGGTTAGATCCACAGGAGGGAGTGACATCCACAGCAGAAGGTGAGATCCACAGCAGAGGGTGAGATACACAGGAGGGGGTGAGATCCACAGCAGGAAGTGATCCACAGTAAGGGTGAGATACATACCAGGAAGTGAGAACCACAGTAGGGGGTAAGATCCACATCAGGAGGTGAGATCCACAGCAGGGAGTGAAATCCACAGCAGAAGGTAATGACCACAGCAGACGGTGAGATCAAAAATGGGTGAGTTTCACAGCAGGAGATGAGAGGCACAGCAGGGGTGAGATCCACAGCAGAAGGTGACATCCACAGCAGGAGGTGAGATACACAGTAGGGGGTGACATCCACATCTGGAGGTGAGACCCACAGCAGAGGGTGAGATCCACAGCAGAAAGTGAGATCCATAGCAGAAGGTGAGATCCACAGCAGAAGGTAAGATCCACAGTAGCGGGTGAGATCCAAAGCAAGAGGTGAGACCGGCAGCAGGGGGTGAGACCCACAGCAGGGGGTGAGATCCACAGCAGAAGATGAGATCCACAGGAGAAGGTGAGATCCACAGAAGGAGGTGACATCCACTAAAGGTGGTGAGATCCACAGCAGGAGGT